TTGTTAGAAGTCCGCACATGCCTCCACTGCACCTCTGGGAGAAGACCATGGATCTCCGCGACTCGGTGGGCCACAAAAGGCTTCCATCGCGAAGCATGTCCTTGGAGCCACGCGAGAACGACAGCCGCATCTGTCCACGCATACAGCCGAACAGAGCGGGGTTGAAGACAGTTCCGAACGGCGGTGACGAGTCGCGCTAAGAGTTGTGCCCCGCAAAGCTCGAGCCGAGGCACACTCTGCTGTTTCGTAGGTGCGACCTTCGTCTTACAGACCAGAAGATGTACGTCAGCGGCCGTATGCGAATGCGGAACTCGCAGGTAAATAGCGGCTGCGTACGCTCGTTCGGAAGCATCACAAAACGCGTGGAGCTCCAAGGCATCCTCGGATACTGAGCCCGTCCAGCGAGGGATTTTCAAGACCTCCAAACGCTCCAGATCACGTCGAAAGTTAGCCCAGTTCGTGTCGATGGTCTTCGTTAACGGTTCGTCCCAGTCCAGAGCAGCAAGCCAGAGATCCTGGATCAGCACCTTGGCCCGAATCAAAACTGGAGCGAACCATCCCATGGGATCGAATAGACGGGCCGTTTCGGAGACGACCTCGCGCTTAGTCCACGATGTCTTAGAGGTTTCCTCAACTGGTCGGTAGCTTCGCAACGTGAGTAAGTCGGCCTTGGGATCCCATCGAAGTCCTAAAGCCCCTACAGTGTCATTGACCTGCAACAATTTCTCTGTAGAGAGATTGCCAAACATCGCAGTGTCGAAATTGACCGCCCACTTATCCAGGGGGAAACCGCCCGCCGTGAGAAGCTCCACCAGCTGGTGTCGGACTTCCTCTGCTTCTTGGACGTTATCCGCTCCAGCCAGGATATCGTCGACGTATGAGTGATGTCGCAACGCTTCCGCTCCTCGTGGGAAACGTTCGCCCTCATCATCGGCGAGCTGCTGGAGAACCCGAAGAGCCAGAAAGGGTGCGGGGGTGGTTCCGTACGTGACCGTTGTAAGACGGAAGTCCCGCACTTCCTCGGTGGGTGATGGTCTCCATACAATGCGTTGCCAATCACGATCTTCGGGGTGTACTCGTATCTGACGGAACATTTTAACAATATCCGCAGAAAAAGCACATCGGAAAAGTCTCCAGCGTGTGAGGACCATCCATAACTCACTCTGCAGTTTGGGACCTGGCAACAAAACCGAATTAAGCGATGACCTACCCGTGGAAACACACGATGCATTGAAAACGACGCGAATCTTCGCATCGTCGCCATCTCCTTTCCATACGCCGTGGTGAGGTAAATAACTGCAGCGTGGCGATATCCTGGATGGGTCGGTGACCGGTTCCATGTGGCCCAATTTTAGGTACTCGTCGAGGAATGCAGCGTACCTCTCCCGGAGACGCGGGTCACGTTCTCGGCGTCGTTCCGATGCTAGCAGCATCCGGGTGGCTGTTACTCGTGTCACCCCTACATCTTCGATCGGTTGAGAGAAGAATGGCAAACGTACCACATAACGTCCCGTACCGTCCCTCGAGTGAGTGTTCGAAAAATGTTCCTCGCACTGGATCTCGGAGGGGTGCAAGGGCGCTGTCGTCGGAACGTTTTCGATCTCCCAGAAGCGCTGCAGCGAGGTATGTAGATCGTCATCTCGACGGACGTGCAGGATCCTCGATTGATCTGATCTGGTCGTTGTAGACGAGGCTTGGACTGGTCCCAGCGGAGCCCAGCCAAAAGGAGTCCGCACTAGCGGAGGAACACCTGGTGGACCCACGCGATTCTCCAGAAACAGGAATCCGCACACGTCAGCGCCCAGGAGAGCATCGACTCGAGATGGTACCCTGAAGTTCTCGTCAGCCAATGGGAATCCCTTGAGGTAGTCCCAACATGCAGAGTCCAGGGGCAGCGACGGTGTGTGGGAGGTCACTTTCCTGGTGACGAGAGCTTCCATCCGAATTTGGAATGCCGGATCCTTGTCGGAGGTAAGCCACACTTGCACTTCGTGATGAATCTCTCCCAGAGGCTGTTCGTCCAACCCCCTCAGAGTAACATGCACGGTCTTCCTTTTTAGTCGCAGTGTTTG